AGCACGCCAACCGGCAGCCTGATTCAAGTCGCCCAGGTGAAAACAGACCCCAAGCTGACCTCAAGGGTCTCATGTCCGACTGCTAAGAGAAAGACTGCAAGACACCTTGCTGAAAACAGACAAGGCCCGACATCAAGGGCCTCATGTCAGAATGCCACGCAAGGCGTCAGTTTCTGCCATGCCGCAATTTGCACGTTCGGCGTTGCCCGAGCTGGCTTTAGCATCCGCTGGCATGGGACAAGAAGGGTCAGCAATCTGCGTGCCTGGAGAACCAAACGCCTACAAGCAAGAGGCTTCTTCAAAACAAAAAGGTTTTGTGAACGAAAACCAGTTTTGTCCAATGCAGACAGAAAATACTGAGACTGGTTTTGTACCGCTTAAACTTTTATTTTTTGGGCTAAATACGGGTCCCAAAATCGATACCCCCGTGTTTGGTTCAGAAACCAAGTGTTGAGGCAAAAATGCCGACAACCATTCTTCTGGCGAAATGTTCAGTGCAATAGAAACAGCCAGACTGACAAACGGCGCCAAAATGAAGACAAATATGCCCCACGGGCGCCCAAGCCGTCAGCAAGAGCCTCATGTCAGAATGCCACGCAGCACTGCAGTCTAACTACCTAATCCTGCTTGGACAAGCAAGGTCAGCAAGCGGCGGGTCAAACAAGCAGCACAGACAAGTGTGCGATGACGCATTCGCAAAAATATTCGGCTTTCCGGCACGTTTGGATGCATGCTAACAGCCAGACTGACTCACGACGCCAAGCTGAAAACAAACAGGCCCCACGCGATCCCGAGCCGACAGCGAGGGTCTCATGTCAGAGTGCCGTGCAAGGCATCACTCTGTGCCATACTATTATTTGCACTGTCGGCGCCACCCAAGCTGATGCAAGAACTCGCTGGCATGTGCTGGGACAAACAGGGTAAGCAAACGGCGTGACAAGCAGCATAAACAAACAGTGTCTCGAGACAAGTCTTGGTCTTTCAGGCAGCTTGCTCAGCAGCACGCAAGCATCTAGACAGAACAAGGATGAAAAGACGCTATTGGACACGGGCTCCAATTGAACTCATTGTGACAGCCAGTGAAATTCTAGTCACTTGTCCAAAATTCGAACCCTGCGCTGTTTCTATTCATGTGGAGGACAGCGGAGTCCTGGTTCGGTTCAGCTCCTTCCGAGGTGAGACACCTCTCACAGAAGCAATCCAGGCCTTGGCGTTTCAGGCTCCGGAATTTGGGATCGCATGCAGCAACCAGCCGGCGAACGGTCTGCCAGGCGTCACTGTTTAGCTTCAGCATTTGGTCGCTGTCAGCGCAATGCATGTAAGGACTCTGTCAAGGTGCTGTCAACAGGCCAGAACAAAATTCGCAACACCAGTGCATTGTGTGGATCTAGTTCGATCTGGACTAGCAAAATATGCAAACTCGCAGCGGACACGTTCTTCGTCCCTGCTGGTGGGCTGACATTGGAGATAAGCTCTCTCTGAACGCTGGGCGCTTGCTCCGACATGGCTAGCGGCAAATTCTAGCTTCACCCAGCACTGAGACGTGTGCCATGGGTCCAGCAGACCCAGCAGCTTCCTACATGCAATCCTTCTTGGAATGAACGGGCCCCAAAAGTGACCCCGCTGTGCTGAACGGTCAGGAGTTCGCTTTGAAAAACACCACCGGGACACAGTCGGCACACCGAGAAACGCACATCAAGCAAAAGCTGAGAAAGAGGTACCTCTCTCGCACGACAGAGGTACATGATAAGCTTCTCGATCTAGGGACCTCACGTTGACCAATCCCTTCAAGTCCTTAAGCGCCAAAGTCCCAACCCGAGTCTCTTTGCATAGGCCGGGTGGGTGGGGACCCACAAGCACCTCTTGGTTGGTTCCCCAAGGAGCTTACCATGGTTCTTTGGATCCCAAATGCGTGGTCAGCAAGAATCCACCGGCCATCGCGGTGTCCACGCTGCACGGCACAGGCCATGCACCCAACGTGGAAATTCGGAGGGAGGCCCCTGCAAATGGCGGTAGCCTGATGAATGGGTGCACGTCATGCCCGTGGACCCTGTGGTGAGGTTTGCCAAGGATGATGGAGTGCGGGAGGCCAAAAGATTCTGTGCTCACATGTTCGCAACTTTAGGCTTCTGCATCTTGATCCACTCCAAAATCCGCACACCAATGTCTCACTCCAACCCCCGATGCCTCATGTGTTCAAACTTGAAAACTTGCACTGGACTTTCCAGCTCTGGACAGGCTGGAAAGCGCTGGCTCTAGCTTGGAGCCTGTCGACCGATCGTGACGGACGCCACAAACAAACGGATGTTTAAGACCCCGTCTGCAGTCACAGCCCCAAAGGCCTGAAGCATTCCAGGATTGGCGCACCAAAGTGCCTCAATTCCGGTAAACGTGGCTCTGGTGACCTTTCGATGGCTTTGCGTTGCAAGACAGACTTGGTGTGTGCATGCCCGCATGTAAAGTTCCAGTCATGACCTGGCTGACATGCAAAGGTGGGCCAAATTGAACGCAATTCCGCAGCCTGCAGCCTGCATTCACTGCTTGTGGGCAGCGCAGGGGCCTTTCCAACGAGCATTCTCCCAGAAGCCATGGGCCCCTGCTGCACAAGCAGATCTGCACCTCTTTGCTTCCTGAAGCTAAACCTTCACAAAAGATCAAACTTGGTGCCAGTGTCTGGCCGTGGCTTGCAGCTGCCCAAGGAGGCATAGAGACCCACAGGCTTTGAAGTTGCTAGCCATTTTGCTGGGCACATGGTATCGTCGCTTGCTTGACCGTCGGCAGCTTGTACTGCTGAAGCTTAAGCGCTACGGAAGGATCCGAAGTGATACAAACTGCTGCTCCTGGTTTCAGGCAGTACGGGGGAAGCAAGGAGAGTGGCATGGCATGCATCACTATGCTTCTTTACGTGCTCCATCTTGCGCCCCACCCTTTGCGCCACCGCGTCCCGATGTAGCTGCAAGTAGTGGAACAGCTGCATGGCAGCAAATGGCCATTTTTGGTGGATACTGGGCAGCAAAAGGAGTTCCTATGTTGACCGTCCGCATCACCACTTCCTGAGCTCCAGTTGCCAAAGTCAGGTGAAAGTCTGAAGCATCCCCGAGGATTGGCTCAAGAAAGTGCCTCTCCGGCCTTAGACATGGCGACCGACCTGATGGCTTTGCAGTGCGCCTGGCGTCCCAACATGATGCTCCGGTTAAACAACGCAGCGCCTCGCTTTTGTCTTGCTGCAACTTGGCAGACCACTTGCCAGATCCTGCCACAGCACAAAAAGCGATCCGGGAACATGCCAGGCTGATCTCTCAATTCCATCCTGTCCGCACATCGTAACATGTGTTGCCTGCTTGCAAACGGCCATCAGTTGCCGATACATCGGGCACTTCAACAAGCCAGAAGCTTTGAAGTCATAGGCACGAACACTGCAACATGCTTCCCAATGCACCAAGAACTCAGTTGAATGGTCGCAATCTGTCAGCTGCCTCTGAAACGTGACAAAAGTGACCAAAGAGGCATACTGCCAAAAAGGCTGATTCACGCCTCTAGCTGCTTCACAAAACACTTATTTGGCGCTGCAGCTGCTTGCTTGTTTCGTAGATCTCGCAAACAGTTTGCTGCAAAATGTGTTTTAACTATGCGATGATTGATTTAGAGGTTGCAAAGAAACCAGCCAAAAAATACAATGAGATACAAGGAAAGCCTACCATCTATGCTTCAAAAGTCTGCTGTCTGCACGATAGCCGCACAGCTCCAAGTTCTTGCGCCAACAAGCAAACAGTTGCCTTGCCTGCTTGCACAACACGGCACCTGTGTTTTCCAATACATGGAGAGCGTGCCAAAAGATTGCTTCAAAGTCACGGACGCAGTGCCCACTCGCCGGCAACTGGCACATCGTGCACCATTGCACCAAGCAAGGACTCGCTTGGTCTGCTGTTTGATTGGTCTTGGGCCATTTGAACTTACGTCAAAGTGCCAATCGATTGGTCCTGGCCAATCGAAATGATTTTAAGCCGGTCGCTTGGCCCTGACAATTCAAACTGCCTGTCAAACTGCTGGTCAGCTGGCCTTTGCCATTCTGATTTCGAAGTGATGCCACTCGATTGGTCAAGCTCATCGAACAGGTACTAAGTGCTGTGCGACAGGCCTCGGTTGGTGTGATCAAAAAATGTCAACTGCATCAGACCATTACAAAACGAGGCTGAGGCTAGGGGCACTCTTTTCCAGCCCAAAATGCGGGGTTTGAACAGTGCTCTGGATGTTCTGGATGTTCTGGAGCCTGTGTTCTGTTGCGAAGGCAATTCCAACTTCAGAGGGTTGAAGTTGGGAGCGCGGCTCGGCCCGTCCAGGCAAGCCAGTCTGAGTTCCGCCATGGCCGCTTCCCAAATTGGCCATTCAGAGCGCTTTTCAGTCTCCGTCAGCTCGTCATTCCCAAGTGGCGTCGCAGGATTTCCCACAAAATCGGGGATGGAATGAATGGTTCGCCAAAATGCTTACCCCACGCCTTTCGCTCACCCTCCGCCTTGAGCGGTGCAGAACCAAGGGACGGCATGCCGGGCTGGAAACATGTGTGCTCGGTGAGACAACACTGCTGAGATTGACGTACACCCCACTGTATACCAGGTTCTCCGTATACCAGGTGTTCTGCGCAAAAATGATAAAATCAAGGTTTTTGCCGTGCACCAAACTTCAGTAGTATGTTAGTCTGTTGTTGTTTCAACATCCTGATGTTGTCCTTGCCTTTGCTTCAAAGATAGCCAAAGTGTGGAGCCCAAGCCGAAAGGCACTTCGCCCAGCAGAGCTGCTGCAACCCCAAAGCCTTGAGGGCCGCTCCAGCGGAAGCCATCAGAAAGCACGTCACGCTTCCAATCAGAAAACTTGTCGAGGCAGAACTGACTGGCCCCTTTAGTTTTGCCCTTGGATGGTGGAAGACAAAAAGAAAACACTTTCTGGGACTGCTTGACGAAAGCAAAGCATGCAAAGCCCGAGCCACAAACCGACCGAGGCGCCACCGGCCAGCGGCAGTGCTCGAAGTTCAGCCGCAGCACCTGGACCCGCGGCAGCGCCGACCGCAGCCCCGCCGCGAAGGCGGCGCTTCGCGAAGCGCCGCCAGAAGGAGCCGAATGGCTGCCGCAGAGCTCCAGGCTCTTCAGCCGCGCCGGCAGCACTGGCCTGGGCTTTTCCTGTTTTGACATGCCGGGGGGGGGGGGAATTGCCATGTTTAGGGTTTAGGAAAGAGGGTCATGTTAACCCCACGTTTTGGGAGTATTGAAAGGGAAGCAGAGGGAAGCCACCTTGGACGTTGCCCCATTTCGAGGCGACGGGTATGGGAAACCGGGGAAATGAACGTTGCCTACAATCTGTCATCTCTCACGGCCATGAAACCAAGTCAGAGCCATAGCCAGCGAGTGGAGGCTCAACAAAGTCGCGGAATCGCAGTTCAGGCACGTGGTAAGCGCCAGCTCGGCCCACTCGAACTCGAGGATGAGCGTCTCCAAGGATGCTGGCAAGGCTTGCATCAATGCCTGCATGCTCGCTGCTTCAAGCGGGCAAAAAGTATACATGTACTTTGACGCGAAATATCAACAATGCCTCAGAGACTCCGCATTTCAAGTCAAGCACTAGCACGTAGCACAAACAGCAGTCCATCATGCCACACCTGACTCAATCATGTGAATGCTGTTGGCCCAACAGCTGTGAGCAGCAACCAGCACTTGATCTGAAGGAGGCTCTCGTGGTAACTCCACAAAGCGGAGGGCTCTCTGGGGAGATCCATGGAATGTTTCCCCAACTTGGGCAACACCCCCCGTTTTCGCCTCGATGTCGGCCGCGGGGACGCGGCTGGCGCCGCAGCTCAGCTCGCACCGCGAAAGCGGCAGCCGAGGCAAATGCTGCGCCAGCGCCCGGACGCCCGCACCGCCCAGGTCGCTGTCGAAGAACTTCCTCGCTCACGGAGTCACACCATGGAAGTCGTGGGAGCATGCATTTGTTCTTTCTTGTTCGGGTCGGATTTTTTGCTGTCATTTAATGCCAGGGTTAAGAGTCGACTAACACAAAATACCGCCAACCCACAAATGTTAAACCCAGTCCCTCCTGTGGAAAATGAACCTGAAGCGCCCAGCTGCACAGGGGAATTGTGATGGCGAAGAACTTCACTAAAACCGCGTTTGAGGCAGCCGCCAGAGCGAAGGCTTGGCTTTGCATTTGCAGAACCGATCCAAGGGATTGCCAAGGGCAAATACCTAGACTGCCGCAAGGCCTGGAGGCCGGAGGCCTTCGAACGATCTGGATTCTGGCATTGCCGAGGCGCAGGCTCAGCTCTTGCAGCGTCGCCGGGAGCCTCTGCGCCATGCCGACACACCAGGCATCCACCCGGCACTCGCTCAAGTCCAGGCTTAGTGACAGCTGCGGCATGACCAAAGGCCTTGCTCTGCGCCATCAAACACGAGTCACAAGTCCATACTTTATGGGACATTTCCCCTCTGGAATTCCAATACATTTCTGAGCTCTTGCCCCAAATGTGACTTCTCTCCTATCCACACCTCTTTTGGTCACGTGGGTACGTCTAAGAAGGGCGACCCAAGGGTCCGTGCTCATTTTTTGCTTCAAAACCAACATGAAAAGGGCTCCTTTCTTTTACGCACGCTACAAGCCGGCGTTGATGAGAAAAGAGTATGGCTCAAGTATGGCCTCTTTGGGTCGGTTCCTCTGCCAGGGTGCCAGGAAACCGCAGAAAATAAAGCCCTCCACATGGTTGTTGGCTTTGGTTTGTCTAGACCGTTTTGGATTTCGAACTCTGTTGGGGTCAGAGCTCAAAGTTCTGCTGCGGCGCTCGAGGTCCTCGCACCCGCCGAGGCCCAGCCGCAGCGCCGCCAGCGGCGGCAGGGCCCGCAGAAGCTGCGTCGCGGCTCCGCGCTCGAAGTCACCTCGCGCCACCCCGTGGTCCCTTGACGTCATGTGAGTCGCTTAGAACGTTTGAGACAACCACAAGCACCGGCCCTTTACCAAAATGTCAATTCACAAACTCACAGAACGTGGTCAGGCTTTACCTTGGTGGTAACATAAACCGCCGTTTCTGATGTGCCTCTCCTTTCGACACCACAAGCTACGTGCACTTTCGCGAGTTGTCGCTTTCAAACTCTGACCGAGCAAGCCGCGCGATGCCAGCTGGTCCCACATAAACTCCACTTTTGACCACGCCTAATAGGAGGATACAGAATTCCCCATCACCCCAAATTGCTTGGGGGTCTCAAAAGAAGCGTTGGGGCCAACATGGCCAACCAACTTCCCATAACCTGAATCCAGCTAGAAGAACCGTTCTACCTGGATATATGGAGCTGGTCTGCCCAGGTTCATGGCCAATTGGCCCAAAACACACGTCACATGCAGTGAAAACTCCTTTGGCCAACAGCTCCCTTGAGAGGAAGGAACAACTCGAGGTGGTCCCTAAAAACCCCGTCCCTTCGGCCAGGCCACACATCTCGAAGTCCAACTCCAGCTCCTTCAACGGCGGGTGCAGGCGCTGCGCCAGCGCTTGCGCTGCGGCCGCCGACAGGGTGAGGCTCTCCACGCCCAGGCGCAGGCGCGTGAGGCCGCCTGGCAGGTGCTGCCTCAGAGGGTTGAGTACCTGGGAAATGGTTGGTGCAGTGGCTCCTTTGGTTCCAAAGGCCAAATATGAGATTCATGTCTAAACTAAGCCTCCAATGGACGGGAACCCAACGTTCCTGAATCCGCGACACTTTGTGACTTGTCCGAAAGCGTCGTCCACACCTCATGTGACATGTTGATCTTGGGATTCTTCCGATGTTTTAAGTGCTTGGTTGTAAAGGGAAACCAAAGGGGTACAATCTGCTTTGGAGGTCAAGTCAGAGCAGTGGATAAACCGCCACCAAGTACCATCGGCTATCAATCACTGATGTTGCCGCCGTCCGCGCTATCTGCCGTATACCATACCCTCCACAGTCTCAATGAGAGGCCCACAAGCTCCGAGCCACACAGCAGTCGCTAGCCCCTCCGGCTCGAAGCAGCGCCCCAAGTCCAGACCTGAGTGCGCCACCAGCTCCCAGGATCCCTTTTCAATCTCATGGTGACTCGGTTTGACTGGGAGCACCATGGTTGATCATCTGAACAGTTGCATCCCATTCCTTTGGCAAACCAAGGGGCCATGGGGAAGGTGAGAAAAACTGGAAAGCAAACGCATGATCTTTGAACGAAAAGAAGCCTGAAACAAGGGGGTGTTGCTTGACCAGGCTTGGACCCTTCAAAAGGCTGTGAATGGGAAAATCAAGGAAAACCAGATAGCCAAGCAGGTCAAAAAGGTAAGCTAATTCATCCAAACAGAAACAAGACTTTGGTCCCCTGGACAGGTGTTCGCCGGGTGACTCAGGCGCTGCAGGGAGCCGTCCAGGCGGTGGAAGAGCGCTAGGTCGGGGGTCTCGTCAAGGTGCAGAGTCAGGTCCTCCAGGTGCGTGGGAAGGCCTCAGAGAGCGGCATGGAGAACCGGATCCTTTCCCCCGCCATGCAGACCAACTGGAACGAACAACGTAAAACTTTTGATGGGAAGAGAGGGACAACCAAACCGTAAACGTGCTTTCTATGATAATTGGGATCCACTCGAAGAGTCAAGGTGAAAGCATCCTTGAGCATCTGTCGCACCGGCCTCCAACGAAGTTCTGCCAGGTTTGCCCTGGCCACTCCTGAAACATCCCCAGCTTCAGCGAGAGCGCGCGAAGCCGCGCCGGCATGTGCCTGCGCTCGAAATGTCTTCCTAGGGCAAAATGTGGGGCAAGCTTTGCAGTGGGGTTGCAGCTGAAAGTTGGTGAGCTACCAGAAATCGGCCACCGGCTCTTTACAAACAAACGAAACCCTTGGGCAAGACGTAAGACGTGTAGCAGTGTCCAGTCAGGATTCCTCTTTGGGGGCACCATGCCATTCCACATAGGAGGCTACTACTGCTCTGCCGCCATCTTGAGCCAAACATATCCTGCCTGAAGAGATCCACTCCTGGCTGAAGCTTCATGGTGAGATTCAGCTCTTCAAGCGTCTCTGGCCAACTCCTGGGGGCACGTCTCTTCGACGTCAAACATGGCAGTGTCAAGAGCCCATTGTCATGTTTATTCCCAAGCTCATGTCAGCTAATGGCAACCCCTCATTCCCCACACTCCACAGAGTGCAATCTGGTTCTTGTCCTACAACATAGAACGCTAGAAGGAACCCCCTACCGACGAAGGCGTTTATCGCCGCCCCGCCTGGCCAGGGCGCTCTGGGCCTGTGGCGAGGCATCGCCCAGCCACAGCGTCAGGGTCCTCAGCCGCTGGGGCAGCCGCTGGGCCAAGAGCTGCAGCTCTGCGCTGATGTCCGCGAAGGGCGACAGCCCCAGCATCAGCCTCTCGAGGCTCGAGGCTCGAGCACTGACCGCACTGGTGTCAACCCCGGATGAAACCTTGGCACGAGGTTCAACGTTGAAACCTGGCGATTCCGAACCGCGGAAACCCATAGAAACCCATAGAAACCCATAGAAACCCTTTTGAAACCCTTTTGAAACCCATAGAAACCCTTAGAAACCCTTAGACCTTTGGTTTCCATTGGGAAAGTACCTTCCAACGCGGGCGCCTGAGGCTGCGCAGGCCCAACGGCAGGCGCAAGATGGCACCCCGGTGCCCCCGCGCCAGGCGCACAGAAACCGCTTGGAAGAGCTCCACCCACAACCGCTCCGAGTCCTCTTTGGGTGTTCGTCTCTTTTTTGGACCAAAAAGGGTGGTTTCCTGTTGGCTTCCCGAATGGGTACCTCCAACCCTATTTGGTACTTGGGTGTGATTGATAACTTGCTGGATGGTTGGGGTTCATGTCCAACCACTTAGGTGGTTCCAACTCGAGGCAAAATCATAGCGACTTGATTGCTGTGGTGAGCAGGTTTTGCGGTTTACCCCATGCGCACATCCGTGATTGTTGGACAGAGAGAGAAGGTTGTCCATGGATCCCAATCCAAGTGGGAGAACAGGGGTTGGCCAACTCTACTAGTACCGCGGCGGCAACCCGCTTGCAAAGTAGGCTTCAACATCCAAGTACTGGGCGCAGATTGGTCGGATGGTGCAACGATCTTCTTGAAAGGGGGTGACTGATGTTAGCTTAAGGGTCTGAAACATGTGAACTAATGAGAGAACCATTTCAGTGACCCACTTCGGGAGGGGGGAACTGTACTCTATCCCCTTACAACTCTAGGAACCAAAGGCAAAGCTAAGCCCCCTTGTCTCCCCAAATAGGAAGCTTGTTGGGAGGTGCATTTGGTTCGGTTTGGAAAGGCATCCACCCAAATTCCTAAGTGATTCCCAAAACCAATTTGACCTGGCCTTTGAAGACTGGCCCCAAAGAAAATGGGCATGTCAAATCCGTGGGTTGATTGGAGAGTGAGTTTGCAGGTTGGCTTGACACAACACATTCGGTTAGATTTCGGGATCCACGTTGATTTGTCAGAGTCAAAGCCTGCTGTCAAAATGGTCCAAGTAAACCCATGTAGAGAGCTAACAAAAACCAGCCGCACCTATTTATGGATGGCACACTCCCTTACTCACTTAGGCGGTTTTTGTTGCGGCTCATTTGTGTTCCCTAACGTGGACCAACACCCTGGGTTCGATCCGCAGTCTATCGATGCTGGCGCCAATACCACTTTAAGGCTCTTCTGAGACTTTGTGCAGGGCTGCTTTGCTGCGAGCCTGAAAACGGTGCGGGTTGATTGAGCCTCCCGGAGGCGGCTCCTCCGCTCTGCAGGCCCGGCACAGCGCAAAGGCACAGCGCAGGTCCAACGAGAGGAAGGGCGCCAGCAAGCATAGGCAGTCTGCCAACGTGGGCTTCATTCCCGGCGCCATCGCAGGGAGCACACCGAGGGAAGTTTAGAGCGCGCAAGTTGGTTGAAGCTGTTGAATCAATTGCTGCTGCAACCTAACCTGCAGAGCTTTGGTTCTGTTTTGAAGATATCTGGCTTGTAGGCACGAGGAAACCCTTTGTCTTCGTGATGATTAGAGAAGTCTGCAGGGAAGCACCACACATCATGTCATGAAATTCACGGCATTCACAATATCCAAAATGTAAAGCAAGCATTTGAGTGAGCTGTCTGCTTCTCAGTAGGATGTGCTTTCGAATCGCTAGATGACGAAAAGCATGGCCAAGGCACAATGAGTACCAGCAATCTTCTGCCCGAGCAACTGCTCTGGGGGCAGGGCAGGGTGTGGCCGTAGGGCAGCGCGTTGAGCTACTGGTACCAGCCTCCAAGAGACTTGCCCTTGCTGTCAAAATCCTTTGGCTCTAAAAGCTATTGCTTTTGCCATGAATCACAGTCAGGATGCCAACCTATTCTCCATCTCTGCTCGCCTTTCTTTGTCCCTGGCCTGCATCTCCGCCCTTGCCCTTGCCCTTGCCCTTGCTCGAGGCGCCCTTGCTGCCCTTGCCGCCCTTGCCGCCCTTTCGCTTGCCACCGCGGTGGCCTCTGTCGCCTGCCCAAACCCATCTCAATTGTGACACCGCACCTTGCGCACTGCACTGGATGTAAGTTTGTCTCTTGTTCCCGCCCCTGCCTTCAGGCGCAGGCGCGTGCTCTGGACCCTGGATCAGGGGATGCAAGCTCAAACAAATGTTGACGCTATGTGCTGAACAAAAGCAGGTCGCTGCCCCTCGCCTCTGCTGAAAAGCCAAGCTCTTCCAGTGCTGCCTAGCACACTGTCACGTGTCTGCGCCATTCGCTGGCATGCCCCAAGTCCATACCAACAAAATCAGAGCCAACATGGCAGATCCCCAACCCGGAGCTGCTCCCAACCCTTCAGAAGCTCCATACCAGGCAGAACCCAATCCAGTCAATCTCCACCAAAAAAACAAAAAAACATATCAGAACCCTCCGAAAACTCGCTCGGAGCCCCATCCAACTGCTCCAGCAACCTTCGAAACCTCCCTTCGAGCTTCTCCGGAGCTTATCTGGGCAGAGACTCAAGTGCCCAAAGCTTTTAACTTCGAGCTATCCCGACCTTGAGATTTCTTGTCTGCCACAGCTGTCTGGGTCACTTTTGCCGCGGTGGGGTTTGTATGGTGACCCAACTGTCCAACTCCAGGATTGTTATTAGTTCTAAGATAAGTGCCGGCAAAGAACGTCAGGGTCTGTTATAAACATTTGGCCGGGCCAAGCCACGGCTGTCAGCTCTGACACAAATGTGGGCCGATGACCATCCCCAAGGAGCCGCAGTCCTGCACTTGCCGCACCGCGGGGTTGTCTGCAAGGACTTGCTGGAGGTCGAAAGCACCTCTCAAGAAGCCCCAGAATGATGCCAGCCACAGAGGGCCTTGGCTTTGACCATCTATGCCGGAACGACTTCAAGAGACGGTTGATCCCCCTCCCAGCAAAAAATAATTGCTTGGCAATACATTGCTTTGTGCAACAGGCCTTCTGGTGTCTCGGAGACCATGGCTTCGTCTCGGAGGCTTAGCAAATCCTCGTTGGCTGGACAGCTGGCAACTGATTGATGCACCAAAGGGGCAAAGGATCCACTGACGCCAGATCATAACCGAGATTGGACCCCGACAGAAGAACCAAAACCAATACATCGGAATGTCAACTCTCTCTGTGAGCGTAAGTTGATCTACTGCATGATTTGTCTCCCAGTCGTTCGATGTTAGTTCGAAGAGATGTTCGGCATCTTTCGCGAGCCTCAAAAAGCCATTTCCCGTCCTCGAGGGAGACGCGCGCCGTGCGCGCAGCGGCCTCATGCCAGAGGCCCAGGCTTTGTCCGGCGCGTCCTGCCCGAAAACGAGCACCCAAGCATGGAAAAGCCGCACTGATGCAGTGCCTATAACAGGAAAACGTGCCCTGTCCATCAAAACACCAATCTTTTCAGGTGTGGCGGATCTTGCCTGCCTTGAGACATGCCGCCGGCAGGACCACTCCTGGTAAAAATGATACAGGTTGGCCAAACGGGTGCCACGCGTTGAGGACGAGGAAACCAAACCAACTCTTGCAGTCGAGGCTCAGGCTGTAGGCCAAAGCGAGCATCAGTGGTACCCGGTCAATTTGCCGGGCGAAACCATAGAACTTGTTCTTGAAGGTTCGAAGGCTATGCCTGAGTCCGAGCCGTCAGAGTGCACCTTGCTGCATGGCCCCAGTCCCACCATGTCCCACGATTCCCACGATGCCCCACAAGCTTGCCACCAACCGCTCGCTCAGCTGAGGCGCTCCACGACGTGGGGTTTGCGCGCCTCACCCCTCGCCACCCGGGCGCAGGCGTTCTCGATGGATGCCCGCACGGTGGGAAGCACCAGCCTCAAGGTCGCTCCGCAAGGATCCAATACGATCTGGCGAGCCCCCAACAAAAAAAATCAAGGCCGTTGACAAGCCCCCAGAGACATGATAACCACATCTGCATCAGATCACACATGCCTCACCAGCGGCTAGGCGCTCGGGATCGATGAGCATGTAGCTGTGGCACAGAGCCAAGCCCAACTCCGAGGGCCGCATCTGCCGCGTCTGCGCGTCCAGCTGTACATACTTCCTGCGCGGCAAGCGGTGCGCATGCTGTGCAGACCGCTAAATTTGGCAATAAACACATTGTCATGACCGGCAAACACGCTCTGAACACCAGCAAGAGATCCTGAATGTCGGGAAATAAACAGTCAAAATCAGTCAAACAAACAAGGGGACGAATGATTCGGAATGAGGCGCAGCCAAGAGCCTTCTGTGCCAAGCTGGAACGGAAGAAATTGTGAATCCTTCGTCTAAAAGACTCTCCTTCGTTTTTGGGGGGTTGTGGTCATGTAATCTTGTAGTCTGTTCCTGTGGTCTTCCTGACTGTAGTCTTCCTGTAGGCGACCCCCGCATCCTATTCCACTCCAATACATATCCCTTGTACCAACTTTTTGGTGGTAGCTCAAATGCACAATCTCAAATGCTCCTCTTCTGGACGTTGCCAACATGTGATGCCATGGAGGCATCAGTGCCTTGCAGTTGGCCAATCCGTACTGAAAGGTGCAGCCCATGTTGCATACCAATCACGATCAACGAACCTCTCTAGTCAACTTTCAACTGCACCGCGCCAAGGCGAATGAGTCTCTCCTGAAACCTTCGCGGTGGAATCCGCCGACCCCTTCTCCTCAAAGGGGGAGGCGTACGGGAAGGGCGGTTACAAGTCCAAGGCTGGCTGGTAAATGAGCATAACCGAAGATTCAACATCAATATCATCATCATCATCATCATCATCATCATCATCGGCGTGGTGGTCGTCGCCGCTGTCCTTATCTTGATTATCATGATGACTGCTGGTGATGCTGAGGATGCGTCATGATGATTATCATGTCAGTTCATCATCATCATCATCATCATCATCATCATCACGGTGCTCATCATCATCAGCTTCTTCGTCATCGTCCTTATCATTTTTAAAATACGTTTCAAGTGTCCCGTTCGACCCGATTCGAGATGCAGAAGATGCGCGGACATGATTATCATGATGACTGCTGGTGATGCTGAGGATGCGTCATGATGATTATCATGTCAGTTCATCATCATCATCAGCATCATCATCACGGTGCTCATCATCATCATCTTCTTCGTCATCGTCCTTATCTTTTTTATACACTTGAAACGCATTTAAAAAATGATAAGGACAATGACGAAGAAGCTGATGATGATGAGCACCGTGATGATGATGATGATGATGATGATGAACTGACATGATAATCATCATGACGCATCCTCAGCATCACCAGCAGTCATCATGATAATCATCTTCTGCATCTTCGGGTCTAGCGGGACACTTGAAACGTAATAAAAAAGATAAGGACGATGACGAAGAAGATGATGATGATGAACACCAACTGACATGATAATCATCATGACGCATCCTCAGCATCACCAGCAGTCATCATGATAATCATGTCCGCGCATCTTCTGCATCTCAAATCGGGTCTCTTACTAGCCGGCACTGGTGATGCCGAGGATGTCATCATCATCTCTTATTAGGCAGCACTGGTGATGCAAAGGGTGTTACGATGATAGTTATCATCATAATCACCATCATGATCAACCTTATTATGATGTCATCGCTCTTCTCATCATCATCATGATGATCATCATCATCTCATTCTTGTTCTTATTCTTATTCTTATTCTTATATGCATTTCAAAAGTAACGTTAGACCCCATTGGTAATGCAGAGGATGCTACGATGATAGTTATCATCACAGTCCTCATCCTTATCATCACTATCCTCATGGTCATCATCATCTCTTGTTAGCCGGCAATCCTTATTATGATGTCATCGCTCTTCTCATCATCATCATGATGCTCATCATCATCTCATTCTTGTTCAAGGGCTGCCGCCCAGTGCCGCCGACCCCTGGATTTAGTTGTCGTTTTCGAGCAACCAAAAAACACTGCCCTTGGTTTTGGTTTGTTTGGTTTCTTGCGAATGATGCGTAGTGATGATTATCATCAAGGCAGGACTCCAAATCTCAATGACCCAAATGGCATCTGAGGCGAGGTGCCGTTTCGACAGTGATGCGTAGTCATGATTATGATCATCGCTGCTGGAGATGCTGGGGATGCGTAGTGATGATTATCCTCATGATTGCCACAGATGCTGCGAATGATGCGTAGTGATGATTATCATCAAGGCAGGACTCCAAATCTCAATGACACAAATGGCATCTGAGGCGAGGTGCCGTTTCGATAGTGATGCGTAGTCATGATCATCGCTAGGCACCCTTGGTAATGCAGAGGATGCTACGATGATAGTGATCATGACAGGGATCATTTGTTGCCCAGCAAGTCACAGTCCCTGTTCGTGTCTTCAAAAATGCAAACAAAACCCTGAAATACAAGATTAGCCTTTTGGGGCCACTAACATTTCACCCAAAAGAAACCAAAGAAACCAAAACCAAGGGCACTGTTTTTTGTGGCTCCAAAACCACAACTAAATCCAGGACTGGGCGGCAGCCCTTAAATCCGGCCACCGGGGGCTTCAGACCCCGTGGTCCGTGATACGGCCGAAGGCCTAGGCCCGGAGGGCCTACCTTCAGGTACAGGGCCGGCCGCCCTGTGCCGCCGACCACCGCCGACCATGCGCTATACTTTTGCGCTGCGCCAAGCTGGGCCCACCCTTATAAGGGGCGAAGGATTTGCGGATTTGTTCAGGCGATTTTTGGCGGCTTTTTGAGCATCTCCCCGCGGAGTCAAAAAACGAGTGTTTTTTGGGGGGTGCCCATAGTGGACAACATCCCCGGCATCACCTGCATCATCCGCATCCTTGGCGAACATTGATGCGGATGATGCCGGTGATGCGGGGGATGCTGGGGATGTTGTCCCCGAAGTCGGGCCAACTTTGCCGAAATCTGAAAATAAAATCTTAAAGTGGATGGAAAATGGATGGAAAATGGCCTGGATTGAAATCTCAAAATCCTAAAGCTTAAAATCTGAAAATATAAAAACATCCTAAAGTCTCGGGGGATGCTGGGGATGTTGTCCCCTAAGTCGGGCCAACTTTGCCGAAAACGTGCAACCTGAAAATCTTAAAATCTTAAAGTGGATGGAAAATGGATGGAAAATGGCCTGGATTGAAATCTCAAAATCCTAAAGCTTAAAATCTGAAAATATGAAAACATCCTAAAGTCTCGGGGGATGCTGGGGATGTTGGCCCCTAAGTCGGGCCAACTTTGCCGAAAACGTGCAACCTGAAAATCTTAAAATCTTAAAGTGGATGGAAAATGGATGGAAAATGGCCTGGATTGAAATCTCAAAATCCTAAAGTCTAAAATCTAACAATCAATCTTAGAATCTCGAGATCTTAAAATCTTCGAACTTAGAATCTTAAAATCTGAAAATATAAAAACATCCTAAAGTCTCGGGGGATGCTGGGGATGTTGTCCCCTAAGTCGGGCCAACTTTGCCGAAAACGTGCAACCTGAAAATCTTAAAATCTTAAAGTGGATGGAAAATGGATGGAAAATGGCCTGGATTGAAATCTCAAAATCCTAAAGTCTTAGATTCTTAAAATCTTAAATTAAAATCTAACGAACTTAGAATCTTAAAATCTGAAAATATAAAAACATCCTAAAGTCTTCGAATCTTGAAATCTTAAAACCCTGATGTCTTAGAATCTTGCGATCTTAAACTCTGAAAATATGAAATTCCTACAGTCTTAAACTCTTACTCTTGAAATTTGGAAATCTTGAAACCTCAAGATCTTAAACTTACAACCTTAGAAGATCGAATCTTACAATTTGAAAATATAAACATCCTAAAGTCTTCGAATCTTGACTTCTTAAAACCCCCGAATACCTTTGAATCTTCAGATGTTAAAATCTAAAAATATGAACTTCCTAAATTCTCAAAGTCTTAAAATCTCAGAATCTGAAAAGCTTTCAAAACTTAATTCTTTTTAATCTCGAACTATTGCAATCTGAGAATCTTAACTTCATAAACAAGTTTAATATCATAAAATTCCTTCAATCCGGGCAAAAGTTTAAATTCCTTAAACTCTTAACCTTGAAACTTTGAAGCCTTGAAATCTTGAGATCTTAAAATCTTAAATTCCGAAAGTCGCCAAATCTGAAAATCTCCGAAAAATAAAATCTTAAAGCCTTCGAAATCTGATAATAGATGGAAAATGGCTGGGCAATGGCCTGGCTGTTATAACCTTCAAAAACTTTAAATCTTTGACTCTTAAAACCTGAAATTCTTAAACCATTGAAACCTTAAGTTCCGACAGTCTTCAAATCTGAGACCCTTAGAATCTCAAAGTTTTTAGAATCTGAAAATCTTAACATCTACTAATCGGACTTACAGGAAAGGGAAGTGACAGAACGAGCAGGGCAAGGTGCCCGGTGGCCGGCTGTGTCGCGTCAGCGTGTAAATCCGGCCACCGGGGGCCCTGACCCCGTGGTCCGTGACATCGCCGAAGGCCTAGGCCCGCAGGGCCTACCTTCAGGTATAAGGCTGTCCGCCCCATGCCGCCGACCCACCGCCGACCATGTGCCGAACTTTTGCGCTGCGCCAAGCTGGGCCCACCCTTATAAGGGGCGAAGGATTTGCGGATTTGTTCAGGCCATTTTTGGCGGCTTTTTGAGCATCTCCCCGCGGAGTCAAAAAACGAGTGTTTTTTGGGGGGTGCCCATAGTGGACAACATCCCCGGCATCACCTGCCTGCACCATCCTCCGGACATTGATGCGGATGATGCCGGTGATGCGGGGATGCTGGGGATGTTGTCCCCGAAGTCGGGCCAACTTTGCCGAAAACGTGCAACCTGAAAATCTTAAAATCTTAAAGTGGATGGAAAATGGATGGAAAATGGCCTGGATTGAAATCTCAAAATCCTAAAGTCTTAGATTCTTAAAATCTTAAATTAAAATCTAACAATCAATCTTAGAATCTCGAGATCTTAAAATCTTCGAACTTAGAATCTTAAAATCTGAAAATATAAAAACATCCTAAAGTCTTCGAATCTTGAAATCTTAAAACCCTTATGTCTTAGAATCTTGCGATCTTAAACTCTTAAAATATGAAATTCCTACAGTCTTAAACTCTTACTCTTGAAATTTGGAAATCTTGAAACCTCAAGATCTTAAACTTACAACCTTAGAAGATCGAATCTTACAATCTGAAAATATAAACATCCTAAAGTCTTCGAATCTTGACTTCTTAAAACCCGAATATCTTTGAATCTTCAGATGTTAAAATCTAAAAATATGAACTTCCTAAATTCTCAAAGTCTTAAAATCTCAGAATCTGAAAAGCTTTCAAAACTTAAATTCTTTAAATCTCGAACTATTGCAATCTGAAAATCTTAAATTCATAAACAAGTAAAATATAATAAAATTCCTTCAATCCGGGCTATATTCTAAATTCCTTAAACTCTTAATCTTGAAATTTTGAAGTCTTGACATCTTAAGATCTTAAAATCTTAAATTCCGAAAGTCGCCAAATCTGAAAATCTCCGAAAAATAAAATCTTAAAGCCTTCGAAATCTGATAATAGATGGAAAATGGCTGGGCAATGGCCTGGCTGTTATAACCTTCAAAAACTTTAAATCTTTGAATCTTAAAACCTTAATTCTTAAACCATTGAAACCTTAAATTCCGACAGTCTTCAAATCTGACACCCTTAGAATCTCAAATTTTTTAGAATCTGAAAATCTTGACATCTACTAATCGGACTTACAGGAAAGGGAAGTGACAGAACGAGCAGGGCAAGGTGCCCGGTGGCCGGCTGTGTCGCGTCAGCGTGTAAATAACTGGCTGCAAACGAGGCTCCAATGCCATGGCGATCCATGAGGGCCAGCAGCTCGCTCTCAGTGAGGTGCTGCGGTGGCTGCGTGAAGTGCTGACTCAAGGAAACGTCCTGCAAAGCCAGCGTCTCTCCTTGGCAAAGCAATGGGTGAAGATATGGAATGCAGCCGCATCAGAGATCCTGTTGACGTGGGTTGGGCCTGCAGCTCTAAGCCCTAAAACCAGCCCTCCCCTTGCAATCTTCGAATGACGGGTTGCCTTCCCGAAAGCCGCTGCTCAAATCCACAGCGCCAATGTCCTGACTGAGCGATGACAAGGCTGCAGCTACAAATCCTCTCTCTACAAATCCTCTCTTTCTCTGTCTCACAAATCATTGCTCGCTAGGCCGCGCAAGGGATGCTTGGGCGTTCGCGAGATCAAGTCAAGAAAGTCTCTCTCTTTCTCTGTCTCACAAATCCTTGCTCGCTAGGCCGCGCAAGGGATGCTTGGGCGTTCGCGAGATCAAGTCAAGAAAGTCTCTCTCTTTCTCTGTCTCACAAATCCTTGCTCGCTAGGCCGCGCAAGGGATGCTTGGGCGTTCGCGAGATCAAGTCAAGAAAGTCTCTCTCTTTCTCTGTCTCACAAATCATTGCTCGCTAGGCCGCGCAAGGGATGCTTGGGCGTTCGCGAGATCAAGTCAAGAAAGTCT